TATCAACGGGGGGGGGGTGAGGAGTTTGACGCTCGTGAACTGTCAACAGGAGGGCGGGGGAAGCCTCGCTGCGGTGAAGCAGTGTGTGGACCTGTCAGCGCAACTTACATGATGCCGAATTTAACAACAAATTTTAATAATTGGTTTAAACGGCATAATAATAAGGACGATCGTCCGTTCTGTGATTCTCCAGAACACACAGATGGCCGGTCCGCCCCTGTGTAGCATATTATTTCGATGAGAGATGAGCAGATCGCCACTGGGCTTTCAACTAAAGACACAGCCACGCAAAAACTGCGGCATTTGTTCAGCTCCTTATGGGTACTGCAATTTGTGAAGTGCTTTCCTCCGAGGTGAAACGATCAGCCCTGCACCACGGAGGAAAGCGGCAGAAAGTCGCCTGGAGTTAAAGAGAGCGGGGCTGCGTTGCGTGCATGGCTTCCTTCTGCAGGTAACGGGGAGACGCGCTCTGGCGGCGGTCTCGTTCAGGATCCGAAAATAAAATGTTAATATTTTGCCCACTTATTCCACTTATTCCTAGTGTGCCACTGGTTACGGTGCCGCGTGCCAGGGGTTGCCGACCCCTGATGTAAACCATTAGTCTGAGACATTGTTTACAGCTTAAAAGGGTGTTAAATAACATTTGGTGATTATTAATGTTTTTTTGTGTTATTGTCAGAGCAGTTAAAACAGACTTAAATTTGACAGGGAACACCAAAGTAAGGGAGGAGAAACGAACACGATAGGAGGGATAATAACATTCTAACAGCTAGTGTCTTCAATGATTCTGGCACAGCTGCTCCTCCATAAGCTATCAAATTAGTTATTTGACAAACAGAAGTTTTAAAGTGATTTTGAATTAAGGATACATCTATGTAGGTTTAGCAAGCACCACTGAGTAAGCCAGGTGTTTCAAGAGCTTTTTCCAAATGTTGGCTTTTTATACTCACCTTACCAGCCGTAGACATTTTTGCAGGAAGACCAATGTTACGTGCCGCAGTTGGTGCTTGTGTGCTTTTGTGTGTCTCTCTCTCTCCCTGATTGTCTCCAGGTGCAGCTTCTCCCCCAGGTGCTCCCAATCCCCAATCAGGGCCTCCTTAAAGGACCTGAGGAAGGCTGCAGTGGCCTCTCTCTCCTTCTCCTCTGGCTGCATGTGTGCAGCATGTCTCTGTCTCTGTGTGAGGCCTGTGTTCTTGTGAAGTGTTAGGTGTGCTCCAGTTTGTTCGTGTATTGTTTTATTTTGGTTTGCTTTGCAAGTTGGCTAGTGAGCCCTTTCTATTTATCCATTAAAACCTCACTTTGTGGCTTTATATCTCAGTTTCCTCTCCTTTTTTCTCTCTCCTGGTTATTTCATTATGTTGTTACTTCCCTCTGGTTCCCCTAGCCCAGTAGGGAACGTAACATGGGGGCTCGTCCGATCTTTGAGACAAAGAGTGAGTATTTGTTTGTTGTTTAGTGTGATTGTGTTTGGTGGTGAGCAGTAGTGTGTAGCATTGGCTGAAGTCTCTTACTGTTGAACAGCTTCCTCAGTTTAGATAGGGGAGTGTCTAGCTGGGCTGAATCAGTCTTTCCTTCAGGCACTCATTTATTATTTTGCCTTTTTTATTTTCGGGGTAATCCTGGGTGGGGATTTAGTCCCTGTTGGGGGCAGGCGTTTCAGGGTTTCGGCCGCTGATGTTTGCCTTTAAAGTCGCCTCGAGCCCGGCACGCTCCAGAAGATAGTTAGGTAAGTTGTGGTAGGCAGGATCTGGGGAAGTTTGTTATTTGGAAGACTAGAGTCAATTTGTGTAGCATCAGATATATTTGCCTGTTGAGTGAGGTGATTTAATTGTAGTTGGCAAGTAGTTGCAAATTAGTTTGTGTTTAGTATGGCATCCCTTGTGTTGGGTGAGTCCTCTCATACTGGTTCTAAATTAGATGCCAGGTTGAAAGTGAGGTTAGCTCGTCTCCAGTGGGAGAAGGAGGAGCGTGAGCGAGATTTTCAGCTCATGAGGGAGCTGGAGATCAGGAAGTTGGATGCAGACACAGCTTTCAGGATGCGTCAGCTAGAGCTGCAGACAGGTTCAGTGGGGTCCTCTTCGGGTACACAACCATTGTTAGGTTCTGATGCTCCTTTTGATGTTGGTAACAACATTCAGCTGGTTCCAGTATTTCGTGAGTCTGAAGTTGAGTCATACTTTGTTGTGTTTGAGCGCATTGCTGCTGCTTTGCACTGGCCCAAAGATGTGTGGGCCATACTGTTACAGTGCAAGTTAGTTGGTAAGGCTCAGATGGTTTGCTCTTCTCTGCCTGTTAAAGATAGTATTGTGTACGAAAAAGTTAAATGCGCTATTCTCAAAGTGTACGAGCTTGTGCCTGAGGCTTATAGACAGCGTTTTCGTGGCCTAAAGAAAACACCTGGCCAAACTTTTTTGTAGACTTTGCAATAGAGAAGAGAAAGCTATTCAACGGATGGTGTAAGGCATCAAAGGCTGACGACTTAACTTCAGTTTGTGATCTCATAGTGCTGGAGGAGTTTAAAAACTGTGTCCCAGAACATACTGTTGTTTTAAATGAACGAAAAATAACCTCCTTGCAGCAGGCTGCCACCATGGCGGATGAGCTGGTGTTAATGCACAGTGGTGTTTTGGCTCAGAGCGATTCTCCTCATCGTGTTGGTTTCCGGAAAGCTTGTAACAGGCGTGCCACACATGCTCACTCTGTTTCTCTTCCAGGACCCAAGAAAAAGAGATTGTGTTTCTTTTGTCTTGACCCTGGTCATCTAGTGGCAGAGTGTGTAGCTCGGAAGAAGCAGTTGGCAGCTTCCAAGCGGTCTGTGGAAAAGCCAAGAGACCAGCACCCAGTTGCAAGGCGACAGAGTGGTGAGTTGCAGTTAAGTTCTGCGTCCGTCTGTGACAGTGCTGTGGGTGTTCCCGTCTCTGAAGCGGTGGGTGTGGACCTGGCTCAGAGCAATGGGGATCTGTGTTCAGTGAGTGATGTGTGTATTCCATGTGATGTGTGTGTTCCATGTGTTGCTCCGGTGTTGGCTGCTTGTGGGCAGTATAACGTGTGTTTTATGGGGGGGGGTGTGTTACGTGCCGCAGTTGGTGCTTTTGTGTGTCTCTCTCTCTCCCTGATGGTCTCCAGGTGCAGCTTCTCCCCAATCAGGGCCTCCTTAAAGGACCTGAGGAAGGCTGCAGTGGCCTCTCTCTCCTTCTCCTCTGGCTGCATGTGTGCAGCATGTCTCTGTCTCTGTGTGAGGCCTGTGTTCTTGTGAAGTGTTAGGAGATGTGCTCCAGTTTGTTCGTGTATTGTTTTATTTTGGTTTGCTTTGCAAGTTGGCTAGTGAGCCCTTTCTTTTTATCCATTAAAACCTCACTTTGTGGCTTTATATCTCAGTTTCCTCTCCTTTTTTCTCTCTCCTGGTTATTTCATTATGTTGTTACTTCCCTCTGGTTCCCCTAGCCCAGAACGTAACAACCAATAAGAAGGAAACGAGTGAGAGTGAAGAGAGGACTGCAGCAGCGGGAGCGAAGAGGAGAAGATAACAAGAGCTCACTGACCGGTGGTTTTATACAGAATCAGTATAGACCTATTAAACGATTTGGCAAACGTACAGATGGGCAGGGACTTTGAACTTTCAGATGAATGAGACACTCAAAAAAAGTTAATGTTTACATTTATTTTTCTCCAGTTATTTTCTTTTATTCTGTCGCAGGCTGCCTTTCTCGGCCTGTGTGCTGTTTTTCTGGAACAAAGTCTTAGTTTTTATGATCATACTTTCCCTTTAAGAACTTTGAATGGCAGAATTACATTTATTCTGGCTTGTTCGGACACTTATGTTCAAGAACTTTCAAATGCACCTTTACACCAAATTGGATGACTGCAGTTGTTTTATTTCTTGCTCTTGGTGACCCTTCCCCCCTTAAACATTAAAAGGATTGCTGATCCTTGTATTTTTCCTGTGTTCATACATGAACCTGGGTTAATTTTTAAACCTTTGAAACTGTGCTCCATACAGCAGACTGACTGACTGTCTATTACATCAGACTCTCTATTACTGGTATTAGATTCCTACAGTATGGTTAAGGGATCAAACCAAGAGGAGTTATGACAGTGACCAAAATTGGGGTATTCCCACCATGGGGGCTGAGCAAATGACTCAATTTCACAGAACATATATACACAATATATGATCTCCTGGGGTTAAATTGACAATCCACTGTCCGGCACATACGTCAACGCTCTTTGGGCATCAATTTGGACACCTTTACAATATTTATCTTTATAAAAATGTGTTTGAAATGCATGCATCGCGTATGGAAAATGCTGCTGTTATAGTCTAATTAGTCTGAAATATCATTACAAAAGTCATGGGATAGTATGTTGAAGGAAGTCATAGTATTGTTGAAAAAATATGAATATAGAATGTCGAAAATATCATGACAAAAGTCATAATCTACTGTGTCAGAATAGTTTTTTTAAAGTCATGGAAATGAAAATATTAAATGACATTATTACAATAACCTATACATGATGGAAACATTTTGGAAAAAGTCATATAGTATATATATAATATATATATAAAGTTATAGTTAAGTATGTCGCAAAATAACAACAAATCAAATGTTAGTATGTGGAAGAAAGATTTATAATAATATTTAGATACAAACATTAAAACAAGTCGTAGTATAGGATGTCGAAAAAAGTCGTTAACACTGCTTTGTGCAACAATTAATTCGCTGTATTGAATTAAGGTCTCACTTTATGCAGACAGATACTCAACAACATTCCGTGAGATGAATGCAAAACTGAGGGACGTACAATTGAATGACATTCTTCCTTTAAAGTATCTTTCTCCTATTTGGATTCAGTTTTTTCCTCAAAGGAGTACACGGGATAAGTGATTTACAGAGTGGATATGTATGATGAAAAAATGTAATTATTTCGGCAACAACACTATTACACTCACAATGTAATGGAGGGTAGAACACAACCGTTTTCACAAACCACAGACTCCATCTGTTTAGAACATTGTTTTTTTTAATTAACACTTCACATGATTAACACAATCTGCTTGTATTCACCTGAACAGTACTGAGTGTTCAAGGTCAGGCCTTTATAGTGTGCGTCATTTGCAAAAATCTATGAGGTGTATTATATTATTTGTATGAGTATTATGCAGAGATTTTGAAAAGTAAAGCGGTGGGTTTCTTTATTACTTTGGCGGTCATTAAAAGCAACAAAGTGGTCTTATTTTGGAGAGACGTTGAGGACCGTCCGGATGCTGTGGAGCAAAAGAGAAACACATGAGGTTTCCTGTGTGGTTTTTGTGTTACAAATGGTGGAGGAGGTATTGGAGTGTAAACCTACCATTTGCCTTCCTTCATCAGTTCAATGGCATCATTGACCTGATCCAAAGTCATGTTGTGGGTGATGAACTCATCCACCTTCAACTTCTTGTCCATGTAGGCTTCAACCATCTTTGCCACGCCATCCTTACCCTTAAAGCCTGTGCCACAAAATGCACACAAAATCTAAAATAAGAAGGTTGTATCTATGATACACATAGCTTGGTAATTTCAGAACAGATATTTAGTTTGCAAAGATTAATGAACCAGTAGTTATGTCATATTTGTCTCACCTCCAAATAAAGAGCCCTTCCATGTGCGTCCAGCAATGAGCATAAGGGGTCGGGCAGAAATTTCCTCCATGATATTCACGCCAACAATCACGCTGACACCCCAACCTTTCACACAAGACTCCAAGGCACTGCGCTAGATCGGGAAAAATATAAGGTCAAACTTGTTTTTCTGAAAGAAACTTTAATGTAATGAGCTATCGCCTTACCATGACTCCCACATTCCCGACACATTCCAGGGAGAAGTCCACTCCTCCGTCAGTCATCTCAGACAGAACTTGGCTGATGGGTTTACTGTGATCCTTGGGGTTCACGAAGTCGGTCGCCCCGAACACCTTGGCCTTCTCAGCCTTCTCTGGATTGATGTCAACAGCGATGATCCTCTTGGCTCCTGCAGCCTGGCAGCCCATGACTGCAGCCAACCCCACGGCTCCCAGGCCGAACACAGCACATGTGGAGCCTGGTTTCACCTAAAATAATGAAGTCTTGGGTCTAAACGGTTGTTTTAAGTCTTAAAGCTCTGCACAGTGATATCAAAAGCAAAGTACTGAAACATTTCCAAGATAAGCCAAGGATGTCTGTCAGCATGACAGTGGAAAATTACTGGCCTGTTTTCAATAAAAATTGGAAGGCTTTAGCATGGGCCAAGGAAGAACAAATGACATTTTGGATTAGATTAAGCCCTGCCTCCAATCTGCTCCATCACGGCAGCCTCACACAGCCAACCTTGACACCGGTCAAATGAATGTAAATACGCATTTTACAACTTAAAGAACCAGGGCTATTTAAGTGTTTGTTCTGGGAAGTGGGTTTATCTAAATAAAAGAGTTATACCCTGATTTACAGAGGTGTCCTTCCTAGAGTAAGACAATTCGGAAAAAGTATTATATGGGCCCAATGGCATCACGTGATTGACACAGAAGTTGTAGTACCAGCTCTTGGCCACTATGAAAATGCTGACAGAGCGACCATTGTTAAACTGGGGGGCGTTACACCGCCGTGATGACTTGTTTTCTGCAGTAAACGTCATATAAGCGCAGTGCTGAGCTGCCAACATTAGCCAGTGGGTAAATACATGCCTATAGCATACCTTAGCTGTATTAACTGCTGCTCCATATCCTGTGCAGATTCCACAGCCAATGAGACAGACTTTGTCCAGAGGGGCAGCAGGATCGATCTTGGCCACAGCCACCTGGTTAACCACAGTGTACTCAGAGAAAGTACCGGTCCCCAAAAACTGCAGCACCTTCTTCCCCTTACAGGTCAACCTGGATTCTAGCGGTGCCATCGCGTTGTGACGCCCAGCATTGGCCCTGAACAAAATATAAAATGTTTTGTAAAAGAACCTGAAGAATGTTTTGACTGCTGCTATTATGTTATTACAGGGTTCACTGAATACCGGCAATAAACTAACAAAGGTGAAACGGTCTAAAATGTGATCTCTACAAACAGACCTTTAAGTTACACCAATGGAGACTTTAAACTGATAAAATTACAACTTTCATCATTACCAATAAATAATAAATGAAAGAAAAAAACAGTCCATAACTTATGAACACACTCGGAATGAAATAAGATGTTCAAAGGGAAGATGTTTGTGGCAGAAGATGAGTGCTAAGGGAGCTCACCATCCTTTATCACACTGGTTGGTCTTTGGACTCTTACAGAAGCGACATTCTCTACATTGACTGATGAACAGGGGTATGACATGGTCTCCTGAAAGGAAAAAACAGTGTGATAGTCACATACACTTTACAGTGGGGTAAACATAATGTGTTGGCATAATGGCACCAATAGGCCTCAGTTGACGTCCCTTATCCATCAACACCCCAAGAATAATTTGTTTAGAGTTTCTGTTAATGTAGCCAACTGATTAAATAAAAAGCAGAAAAATAAAATGTTAATCATTAGCTTTAGAGGTTTTGGTCACTAGGAGGGCTGTCACTTTTACAAAAACGTCACAGACAAATTATTCACAGTGCTTCTGAACTTTGGACAGTGCCAGGCAAGCTGAGTTAAACACAAACATTAAACATTAGATATATCAACCCTTTGTCCTCACCTTGCAAATAAAGCAATATTCAGAAACTGACCTGGTCGATATTCAGTGACTCCAGGCCCAACACTCTCTACGATGCCAGCTGCCTCGTGCCCGAGGACTGTTGGGAAGCCGACCTCATGCTTATTCTCAAAAAGTTGGTAAAGGTCCGAATGGCACACTGCAGTGGCCACAATCTGAAGAAATATGCCAAATTAGTTTTTGGTCTCAAACATTAGTTTCAAGTCTTTTCAAAACAACATTTTGCAAACTGTGGATCCATTCAGGGTTATAGTTAGGGTTATAAAAGCAGGGAATGCTTAGGGGTATGGCATTATTGTGTTGAACAAGCCCTACCGCAGCATTGGTGTAGTAAAGAACCATAAAAACACTGCTGTGAATTTCTGCTAGTTACTACATGTAGTTTTTAGGCATGTTTTTGGCTGGTCAAATTACCATCACAATTTCAATCACTTTAATCACGGATGCACCTTACTAACTTAGCTAAATAGCTCGCTTTAGCTGGTCATTTAGTGTTGGTTTTGCTTATAATACGTGTCCCTCCCCACTTATGCTCAGAGAAAACTCAAGGCTTCAAACAGTAGTCCACAACCAGTGGGTGACATAACGGCCATTACCTTTTAAAGTCTATGGTAAAAACACTCTTCTTCATATACCAGTATGTGAGAAAGTGAGGCTGCTGCAGAGAAGGGAAGAAGTTGCACACAGTGAGTTGATGTGTTTGCTCTGATAGTGGACGTCTCTCACCTTGATGCGGACCTCGTTGGCCTGGGGTGGGGCGACCTCTATATCCTCCATCACCAAAGGCTTGTTGGACTCCCAGGCCACTGCTGCCTTGCATCTGATGACCTACAGGGCACGATATGAAATTAACGAGTACTGTATACGTAGGTGAGAGTTAGACTAAACAGAAAAACACATTGCCATAGGCCCTTGTTAAAGTGGTAATATATATTGCATCCACTGCTTTGAGTGAAGACGAAGATAGTTAAAGCATCATGTTGTCAGCTCTGCAAATCTACTGTTAAAAAGCTACATTTCCAAAAAAACGAATATAATGTTTCTGCTAAGATTCAAGGCAAACACTCATCTGGAGGCCGATTTCAATTAAGAATCAACTGACTGCCACTTTGGAACATTGTATCATATCAAGCAAATATTTTTTTTTTCAAAGGCCTTATGATATCCTTCACAGTAGGCTTTTGGACATGTAAAATAGCTGATCACCACTTTCATTTAATTTTGATTGGTTTAGTCTACTAGTCTACTATGGTGTTCCCGGTCAAAAATGACTGCCATAGAAATGAATGGGTAACCCTAAATGATGTTCTTCCATCAGATAGTACACACCCACAATCAACTACCATGTTCATTTTGGAATACATTTTCAGTTTCTATTCTTTGTATATTAACTGCAGTGCAATTTAAAAAAAATGTATCAGCGTGCCGACGATCGTGAATTATCAACGGGGGGGGGGGTGAGGAGTTTGACGCTCGTGAACTGTCAACAGGAGGGCGGGGGAAGCCTCGCTGCGGGGAAGCAGTGTGTGGACCTGTCAGCGCAACTTACATGATGCCGAATTTAACAACAAATTGTAATAATTGGTTTAAACGGCATAATAATAAGGACGATCGTCCGTTCTGTGATTCTCCAGAACACACAGATGGCCGGTCCGCCCCTGTGTAGCATATTATTTCGATTAGAGATGAGCAGATAGCCACTGGGCTTTCAACTAAAGACACAGCCACGCAAGAACTGCGGCATTTGTTCAGCTCCTTATGGGTACTGCAATTTGTGAAGTGCTTTCCTCTGTGGTGAAACGATCAGCCCTGCACCACGGAGGAAAGCGGCAGAAAGTCGCCTGGAATTAAAGAGAGCGGGGCTGCGTTGCGTGCATGGCTTCCTTCTGCAGGTAACAGGGAGACGCACTCTGGCGGCGGTCTCGTTCAGGATCCGAAAATAAAATGTTAATATTTTGCCCACTTATTCCACTTATTCCTAGTGTGCCACTGGTTACGGTGCCGCGTGCCAGGGGTTGCCGACCTCTGATGTAAACCATTAGTCTGAGACATTGTTTACAGCTTAAAAGGGTGTTAAATAACATTTTGTGATTATTAATGTTTTTTGTGTTATTGTCAGAGCAGTTAAAACAGACTTAAATTTGACAGGGAACACCAAAGTAAGGGAGGAGAAACGAACACGATAGGAGGGATAATAACATTCTAACAGCTAGTGTCTTCAATGATTCTGGCACAGCTGCTCCTCCATAAGCTATCAAATTAGTTATTTGACAAACAGAAGTTTTAAAGTGATTTTGAATTAAGGATACATCTATGTAGGTTTAGCAAGCACCACTGAGTAAGCCAGGTGTTTCAAGAGCTTTTTCCAAATGTTGGCTTTTTATACTCACCTTACCAGCCGTAGACATTTTGCAGGAAGACCAATAAGAAGGAAACGAGTGAGAGTGAAGAGAGGACTGCAGCAGCGGGAGCGAAGAGGAGAAGATAACAAGAGCTCACTGACCGGTGGTTTTATACAGAATCAGTATAGACCTATTAAACGATTTGGCAAACGTACAGATGGGCAGGGACTTTGAACTTTCAGATGAATGAGACACTCAAAAAAAGTTAATGTTTACATTTATTTTTCTCCTACTATTATTATTTTCTTTTATTCTGTCGCAGGCTGCCTTTCTCGGCCTTGAGACACCCATTGGCTTTGCCTTTGAAAAAGTATGTGTGCTGTTTTTCTGGAACAAAGTCTTAGTTTTTATGATCATACTTTCCCTTTAAGAACTTTGAATGGCAGAATTACATTTATTCTGGCTTGTTCGGACACTTATGTTCAAGAACTTTCAAATGCACCTTTACACCAAATTGGATGACTGCAGTTGTTTTATTTCTTGCTCTTGGTGACCCTTCCCCCCTTAAACATTAAAAGGATTGCTGATCCTTGTATTTTTCCTGTGTTCATACATGAACCTGGGTTAATTTTTAAACCTTTGAAACTGTGCTCCATACAGCAGACTGACTGACTGTCTATTACATCAGACTCTCTATTACTGGTATTAGATTCCTACAGTATGGTTAAGGGATCAAACCAAGAGGAGTTATGACAGTGACCAAAATTGGGGTATTCCCACCATGGGGGCTGAGCAAATGACTCAATTTCACAGAACATATATACACAATATATGATCTCCTGGGGTTAAATTGACAATCCACTGTCCGGCACATACGTCAACGCTCTTTGGGCATCAATTTGGACACCTTTACAATATTTATCTTTATAAAAATGTGTTTGAAATGCATGCATCGCGTATGGAAAATGCTGCTGTTATAGTCTAATTAGTCTGAAATATCATTACAAAAGTCATGGGATAGTATGTTGAAGGAAGTCATAGTATTGTTGAAAAAATATGAATATAGAATGTCGAAAATATCATGACAAAAGTCATAATCTACTGTGTCAGAATAGTTTTTTTAAAGTCATGGAAATGAAAATATTAAATGACATTATTACAATAACCTATACATGATGGAAACATTTTGGAAAAAGTCATATAGTATATATATAATATATATATAAAGTTATAGTTAAGTATGTCGCAATTTTTTTTAGTATAGATGTTGAAATAAATCATGGTAGAGTATGTCATCTTTTAGTATGTCAAAAATAACAACAAATCAAATGTTAGTATGTGGAAGAAAGATTTATAATAATATTTAGATACAAACATTAAAACAAGTCGTAGTATAGGATGTCGAAAAAAGTCGTTAACACTGCTTTGTGCAACAATTAATTTGCTGTATTGAATTAAGGTCTCACTTTATGCAGACAGATACTCAACAACATTCCGTGAGATGAATGCAAAACTGAGGGACGTACAATTGAATGACATTCTTCCTTTAAAGTATCTTTCTCCTATTTGGATTCAGTTTTTTCCTCAAAGGAGTACACGGGATAAGTGATTTACAAAGTGGATATGTATGATGAAAAAATGTAATTATTTCGGCAACAACACTCTATTACACTCACAATGTAATGGAGGGTAGAACACAACCGTTTTCACAAACCACAGACTCCATCTGTTTAGAACATTGTTTTTTTTAATTAACACTTCACATGATTAACACAATCTGCTTGTATTCACCTGAACAGTACTGAGTGTTCAAGGTCAGGCCTTTATAGTGTGCGTCATTTGCAAAAATCTATGAGGTGTATTATATTATTTGTATGAGTATTATGCAGAGATTTTGAAAAGTAAAGCGGTGGGTTTCTTTATTACTTTGGCGGTCATTAAAAGCAACAAAGTGGTCTTATTTTGGAGAGACGTTGAGGACCGTCCGGATGCTGTGGAGCAAAAGAGAAACACATGAGGTTTCCTGTGTGGTTTTTGTGTTACAAATGGTGGAGGAGGTATTGGAGTGTAAACCTACCATTTGCCTTCCTTCATCAGTTCAATGGCATCATTGACCTGATCCAAAGTCATGTTGTGGGTGATGAACTCATCCACCTTCAACTTCTTGTCCATGTAGGCTTCAACCATCTTTGCCACGCCATCCTTACCCTTAAAGCCTGTGCCACAAAATGCACACAAAATCTAAAATAAGAAGGTTGTATCTATGATACACATAGCTTGGTAATTTCAGAACAGATATTTAGTTTGCAAAGATTAATGAACCAGTAGTTATGTCATATTTGTCTCACCTCCAAATAAAGAGCCCTTCCATGTGCGTCCAGCAATGAGCATAAGGGGTCGGGCAGAAATTTCCTCCATGATATTCACGCCAACAATCACGCTGACACCCCAACCTTTCACACAAGACTCCAAGGCACTGCGCTAGATCGGGAAAAATATAAGGTCAAACTTGTTTTTCTGAAAGAAACTTTAATGTAATGAGCTATCGCCTTACCATGACTCCCACATTCCCGACACATTCCAGGGAGAAGTCCACTCCTCCGTCAGTCATCTCAGACAGAACTTGGCTGATGGGTTTACTGTGATCCTTGGGGTTCACGAAGTCGGTCGCCCCGAACACCTTGGCCTTCTCAGCCTTCTCTGGATTGATGTCAACAGCGATGATCCTCTTGGCTCCTGCAGCCTGGCAGCCCATGACTGCAGCCAACCCCACGGCTCCCAGGCCGAACACAGCACATGTGGAGCCTGGTTTCACCTAAAATAATGAAGTCTTGGGTCTAAACGGTTGTTTAAGTCTTAAAGCTCTGCACAGTGATATCAAAAGCAAAGTACTGAAACATTTCCAAGATAAGCCAAGGATGTCTGTCAGCATGACAGTGGAAAATTACTGGCCTGTTTTCAATAAAAATTGGAAGGCTTTAGCATGGGCCAAGGAAGAACAAATGACATTTTGGATTAGATTAAGCCCTGCCTCCAATCTGCTCCATCACGGCAGCCTCACACAGCCAACCTTGACACCGGTCAAATGAATGTAAATACGCATTTTACAACTTAAAGAACCAGGGCTATTTAAGTGTTTGTTCTGGGAAGTGGGTTTATCTAAATAAAAGAGTTATACCCTGATTTACAGAGGTGTCCTTCCTAGAGTAAGACAATTCGGAAAAAGTATTATATGGGCCCAATGGCATCACGTGATTGACACAGAAGTTGTAGTACCAGCTCTTGGCCACTATGAAAATGCTGACAGAGCGACCATTGTTAAACTGGGGGGCGTTACACCGCCGTGATGACTTGTTTTCTGCAGTAAACGTCATATAAGCGCAGTGCTGAGCTGCCAACATTAGCCAGTGGGTAAATACATGCCTATAGCATACCTTAGCTGTATTAACTGCTGCTCCATATCCTGTGCAGATTCCACAGCCAATGAGACAGACTTTGTCCAGAGGGGCAGCAGGATCGATCTTGGCCACAGCCACCTGGTTAACCACAGTGTACTCAGAGAAAGTACCGGTCCCCAAAAACTGCAGCACCTTCTTCCCCTTACAGGTCAACCTGGATTCTAGCGGTGCCATCGCGTTGTGACGCCCAGCATTGGCCCTGAACAAAATATAAAATGTTTTGTAAAAGAACCTGAAGAATGTTTTGACTGCTGCTATTATGTTATTACAGGGTTCACTGAATACCGGCAATAAACTAACAAAGGTGACACGGTCTAAAATGTGATCTCTACAAACAGACCTTTAAGTTACACCAATGGAGACTTTAAACTGATAAAATTACAACTTTCATCATTACCAATAAATAATAAATGAAAGAAAAAAAACAGTCCATAACTTATGAACACACTCGGAATGAAATAAGATGTTCAAAGGGAAGATGTTTGTGGCAGAAGATGAGTGCTAAGGGAGCTCACCATCCTTTATCACACTGGTTGGTCTTTGGACTCTTACAGAAGCGACATTCTCTACATTGACTGATGAACAGGGGTATGACATGGTCTCCTGAAAGGAAAAAACAGTGTGATAGTCACATACACTTTACAGTGGGGTAAACATAATGTGTTGGCATAATGGCACCAATAGGCCTCAGTTGACGTCCCTTATCCATCAACACCCCAAGAATAATTTGTTTAGATTTTCTGTTAATGTAGCCAACTGATTAAATAAAAAGCAGAAAAATAAAATGTTAATCATTAGCTTTAGAGGTTTTGGTCACTAGGAGGGCTGTCACTTTTACAAAAACGTCACAGACAAATTATTCACAGTGCTTCTGAACTTTGGACAGTGCCAGGCAAGCTGAGTTAAACACAAACATTAAACATTAGATATATCAACCCTTTGTCCTCACCTTGCAAATAAAGCAATATTCAGAAACTGACCTGGTCGATATTCAGTGACTCCAGGCCCAACACTCTCTACGATGCCAGCTGCCTCGTGCCCGAGGACTGTTGGGAAGCCGTCCTCATGCTTATTCTCAAAAAGTTGGTAAAGGTCCGAATGGCACACTGCAGTGGCCACAATCTGAAGAAATATGCCAAATTAGTTTTTGGTCTCAAACATTAGTTTGAAGTCTTTTCAAAACAACATTTTGCAAACTGTGGATCCATTCAGGGTTATAGTTAGGGTTATAAAAGCAGGGAATGCTTAGGGGTATGGCATTATTGTGTTGAACAAGCCCTACCGCAGCATTGGTGTAGTAAAGAACCATAAAAACACTGCTGTGAATTTCTGCTAGTTACTACATGTAGTTTTTAGGCATGTTTTTGGCTGGTCAAATTACCATCACAATTTCAATCACTTTAATCACGGATGCACCTTACTAACTTAGCTAAATAGCTCGCTTTAGCTGGTCATTTAGTGTTGGTTTTGCTTATAATACGTGTCCCTCCCCACTTATGCTCAGAGAAAACTCAAGGCTTCAAACAGTAGTCCACAACCAGTGGGTGACATAACGGCCATTACCTTTTAAAGTCTATGGTAAAAACACTCTTCTTCGTATACCAGTATGTGAGAAAGTTAGGCTGCTGCAGAGAAGGGAAGAAGTTGCACACAGTGAGTTGATGTGTTTGCTCTGATAGTGGACGTCTCTCACCTTGATGCGGACCTCGTTG